GCCCATGAAAAAGAGATAAAAGCTAAATAAAACGTTCTACTCTGCAGGTGATCTAATGTAAGAAGGCATTCGGCAGTAGATCAGTTTTTAGTTTAACAGGTCAACTTGTTTCTGCAAAGGTCGTTTTGATTCAAAGAACATTTTCTAAAACCAACAAAACTTATTTTCACATATCCAACATCCCCAGTAGAGGAGCACAGGCTGCTCAGGAAAGCCATGTGAGCTGAGGCTGGGTGGGAGGAGCAGGAAGACCTGGCAGAAGTAAAGAGGGACATTTTCTCTTACACACAGGAAACAATACAGAGAGAATAGAGGACAACTGTCCAACTCTCATTAGCTCTGCAGAGGGCGTGAGAGAGGTCTATAGTTCACACTACAACAACACCATAACCTCCCTCTCAAAGACGGTGCTCTATTACAAAATGTTCTGTTGAATCTGAATTTGGTAATATTCTCGTTATGATTGGGGTTGATTTATTCATTTTCCTTACATTGTTTTAAATAACATTTGTATTGTAAAACATGTACGTACAGTACAGCCAACGGTCACATAATGCCTGCTCCCCCCCTCCACACACACAAACACACACACACACACACACAATTAATAATAATAATAATAAAGTCACTTATTTTTTCACATTTGAAAATGCTGTCATTCAAAATGCCACACCCATGGACCAGCTGGCCGATACAAGTGTCACCTGGCCAAACAGCTGACTGCTCCATTGTCAACTCATCAACCAGGAATAAGCACGACGAAGAAGACCCCAGCTGACCTGTTTACAGCAGAGGAAACCAACCTAGAGGCCTGTTTACAAAGACCTGTATTAGCATTTTAATTTAACTGTAATATTGTTTTTTTGGGCTCTATAATTGTTTTCATTGTGTTCATGTACTACATTCTATTTACAATATACTTTGTTCTGATTTTCATCAAAACGAACCTTTGGAAATGCATTATATTGAATGATTTAACAATGTGGACAGAAATGGATATTTCATCAGAGAAAGGTAGACATGTTTTAGATTGAGCAGAGCAGCGTTTAACGGATCAATCTGAATCAGAGGGTATGAACCATGTGTTTATGCTGACCAGTAGATTATTGCAGTTCAGAAAGTATTTCATTTTCAACAGATCTGAGGTGTTCTGCTACTTGTGTGTGTAGTTGTGTGATATTACAAAATGAGCCCTGTTTTCAAAATCTTGCAAAAGCAATTGTGAAAAACTGTAATAAAAAATAAAGAAATACATCCACAGAAGTGTCCATACACACACACATACCTTCATAGAGACGACATATCCATACCCATAAATACACATATATCATCCATATCATAGTTCATGAAACTAAAAATGACATGGAGATCTTTATTAACAAACTACTAAATGGAGTTCCATTGGAAGAGCTTCCTTCTTGGCAAACGCAATACTATCTCTCTCCCTCCCTGTGAGACCACCCAATCTCTCGGCGCCCTGAAAATAGCAATTAGAGGGCTGGGTTCCAGTGTTTGTAGAGAGCCCTGGACAGAGTACAAAAAGAAAACCTTTTCAATTTTGGACAGGAGGAATTTGGTAATATTCCAACTCTGTCTCAGGGCAGTTTGTAAAATAGTCACGAAATGCAATCTATTGGTTTCTTGTACAAGGAAAGGAATTTGTTTTGTATTTTTTTTGTTGCTCAGGAGGAGTTCCTTTTTTTCAGAACGACATTACGTTAACAAAAGAAAGTACGGTTAAGCAACAAAAGCACCAACACTTTGGGACACGCGGTGTCCAACAGCAGCCTGTGTTTGTTGGGCCCATCCAGTGACCCTCCCAACCCACCAGAAGAGGTCTTTGTTGATATTTAATACTACAGCAACAGCTCGGACAGTTGCATTGTCACATGGATGTATTTGATGCGAGTGTCCACCACAGATGCATGATCCTAATTGACTTAAAGGTAAGTCTTCTTCTTGAGTGACACACAACCAGTAGATTGCGTTCCATGACTATTTGACGACCTGCAGTGATACTGGCCAGAATATGCCAATAATAAAGTATGTCACTAGAAATGTATCGCTACACAGTAGAAAGCCATATCAGCCAGGAGATCATTGTCAGACATTGCTCGTGATGGGGAAATCTAAGAGCTCACAAGTCTCCAGTCTCTTCTGATTGTAATGAGCTTGTATCATCTGCTGCATGCCGTTGGTCTGCTTAGAGCACACCTTTATCTGAGGGACTCAAAGAGACTCCTTTATCCGCATTTAAACAGGCTATTGCAATGCATAATGGAAGCTGTTCTTTAAAGTGAATACGTGCATTTTAACCGTGTCACATTAACATACCGCTACAGTAAAGAACCACAGGGTTCTGAGAGGAGAACTGGTTCTAAGCTCATGTTGGAGGAGATATTGATGCGTTCTTTCTGAATATAGAATACAGACTTAGTTCACTTCTCTTCGATACAGGGAATTGCAATTACAGCAGAAATGTTACGTTGATTCTACTGAAGCTCTGCTCTCCAAAATGATGACGTTTTCATTTGAAATACAACCAAGAAAACAACAGTAACAAAGTCAGACCAATGAAGACACCAACAGCTAATGAATCACAAGTCAGAGAGCAGAGAGACCTGAGGATGTCCATTGTGAGTGAACATGGGTCTGAAGAGACTAGAAGGAGATGTAACATACAATAGAACCCACATGTCGGTTCTCCAGTAGAGTAATGTCTGGAACGTGAAAGAACTTTAGGCTTCTGGGGTTTAAATTAAGTCCTTTCGCCATAGTTCCAGGTGCCAACACGTCCCTGCTCTGGGGAAGTACTTCCTAATGTGCCACGAACTATCTCTGGTGGGTCAAAGTCAAACCTCGGTGCTGCTGTAAAGCTTAATTCACAGAACCACAGCTTGTCTCAATATTAGGATGAGAGTGTGACATGCCTCGTAATCTACTAGCAATCCCATTTGTTCTGCTTATCTTATCTTCTTGTGACATTACATCTCTCGTAATGTTTATTAACATAAAAGTTATGCAGACTCATCTACCATCGCTGTCATTTTTTCATTCTAGTATTCTGCCTAATTTTCCCGGCTCTTCAGCTGAGGCGGAAATAAAATCAGAAATGTGCAAAAGACAATTTGAGTTCCTGATTTAGTTCCATAGTGACCAGTATTTGGTCATGAAGGGAGCATATTTCTGACACTAATTTGAATGTTTCCATTATGGTGTTCTAGACGCAAAGGGACATTATTTATTTGATTCATTCTGAATTCTACGGTGAGTTGCAAAACCGAAGGTCCTATGAAGTTGGAAGAAGAGAAACCCAGTGAAGTGTTTGTTCTATTACAGCATCAGAGAATAAAGCTGCTCTTTGGTAAAGAGATCTAAATTCAACTCTTTGCTGTTTTTTCTTCATTGTTCCCTGACCTGTAGTTTCTATTCATCAGATGAATGACAAAATCAATTGAAAATACGATTTTGAAGTATTTAGGGCAGGGGTCTCAAACTCATTTTCACTCTGGGCCACATCAGCATCATGGTCGCCCACAAAGAGCCGGTTGTAAATGTAACTACTCGTAACATATTGTTAAATAACTGTCTCTGCATTTGATTATTGTTTATTCAAGTGTAAAAATATTGTACATGCAGTTATATAAATGTAAAATGATATTTAAGCACATTTCTGTTACAACTTAAATCCTTTTAATTTAGGGTTAAGAAACCCAGATTACTCCATCAAACTATTAAAGAAAATATCAAAGACAAGTTATTATAATAACTGTTCAAAGCTTAAAATCCTTTCAAGGGTGTGTTTGCACAATCCCACGTGAAGTATTTCATGTGTTTTAAAGCCACATTTAAAGTAGTCTTCAATGTACTCACAATACATTTCCATTTCAAGTGTACAGTAACCAGCCAAAGAGCTGCTTCTATGATTGTGTGTTTAGGTATCTCATCATTCTGACTTTCTATCATAATTATGACTTTCTGTCTCATAATTTCGACTACGGGGATATTTTTATTATCAAGTCTAACTTGATTATTTATTTAATTTATTTTTTTTTGCTGGCAGATCCGCAGGCCACATAAATCGGCCCGCGGGCCTCGAGTTTGTGACCCCTGATTTAGGGTAAGAGAGATTCAAATCGACTATTGTTATACCGTGTACATTTGCTTGTCTATGGAATAGAAAAAAACTGATAGAATAAATAATAGAAGTGAATAGAAATGCAAACATTAAAGAAGATTCATATTCGAAATGTTTACTCTGGATAACCCAAACGGACCTATTGAACCTGGCTAATTCTTATGATGATATATTGTGATGAATGTGACGATAAGATGTTGGACTAAAGGGAATCTGGTAAATCCTCACTGATATTCCGTAATAATAATAATATAATAGTAATTATTGCATTATTAAGTTTCAGTGTAGGTCAGTTTCTGAAATTTGCAAACAGTTCATTCTAACTGTAAACACTCATCTTGTATCAAACAAATGCCAACTGTATGCTGTTTATTACACATATCTTATTATTCTTTCACATTATATGTATATATATTTATTAAAACAAGTGTATACTACTATAATATGTAGCTGTGATAGCTGACAACTGATTTCCTCCCAGCTTACAAGCGATGACTTAAACTCAAAACATCAACGTGAGCTGGGAAGACTTTAAAACCATCATGAGCTTCTTAATAATATCAAAAAAATCTTGAAAAAGAAGCAAAAGCAAGTGATGGTTGCAAAGAAATAAAAAGCCATGCATTTCTGAAAGCATGTTTACCATGACCTGGAAGAAACGACATTCAACAGGAGAAAACAACTGTATGTTACAATGTCAGTACTACAGTCTACAGAGGAACTGTAAATACACACACAGTCAGCAAAATCTCCTCAGGGTGCATGAGTAATGACGAGGGGTGGAGTCAGAGAGGATGAATGCTGTATGAAAGCACCACGTGGTGTCAGTGGCGATGGAGCGTACCTTGGGTCATTCCACTGCCCACGTTGTCGGTGGGGCTGCAGCCGTTCTGGGTGGTATGGCTGCCCAGGTCCACCATCTGGTGGAGGCGGAGCTTGCGGCAGTAGATCGATGCTGCCTCTGGTTCTAAGGCGATGATCAGCTGCTCTGGGCTTTCACGGGACACCAGACCAGACTACACACGAGAAGAATACAGACAACATGAACTTCTGCTGTTTTCAACTTCTTTCCAACAAACGATTCATAATAGTGACGTGCTTAAAATGTCTGTGTCACTAGTTCTGTGAAATAGTTACTGTAGACTGTTTTCACGTGTAATCTTATCTGGAATCAGTCTCATATCTATGCATATTTCTTGTTAAATTCATTCAGATGGAATTCAAAAAAAATTGTTTAGGAACTGATATACAATATTCATATCAATCATGACAGCAGGTGTTTTTCTACACATAAGCGTAGGAACTGTAGTGAACAGGGTTTAAGATCAACGACGTCCCGTCAATAGAAAATGTCTCTGATAATGCTACATTGTAAACAGAGCTAGTTACCAGCTGTTAGCAGTTGTTAGCAGCTGTTAGCAGCACAGTCCTGCTTGGCTAAATAACGGAGCTAACAGCTAACGTTGATGGAGGGTGCATTGAGTTACATTATGCTTGGCTTGTTTCAGAACTGCTGGCTGCTTTGTTTTGATGCATTCCCTCTTACTTAGTTCATTGGTAGGCTCAATTTTAACGTCCAATGAAGCTGCACTGCTTTTGCTGTTTGAGAGCGACAGAGGAGCCAGAGGAGAAACGGTGCTTGGTGTTAGCACAGATCAAAAGAATGGGTTGCATCATGGCTCCCGGACTACTAACGGATGATGAGATCAGAGGAGACATGGTTGCAGTGGGCTGCTGTTCGCTGGCTTTCTCCCTCCCTCTGTCCTCCATGAGCAGCCAATCAAACAATCCACACCGCCTGATGCTGAGTCACTGTAGACGCTCCATTTCTCTCTACCTCTGTGATTTACTCACATCCTCCCTCTGTCAGCTCATCCCTTCATCCCAGTTAGAAGCTCTCCTCCTCTTCCCTGTTTCTGCCCTCGTCATTCATACACCCCCCTCCTCTCTTCCTCCTCTTTTAGCTCGACACCAGGGATGTAATCAGGACAAAGGGATGATGTCATTGGGGAAGACGGGAATCTGAATCAGCCCAAAACAAGTGCCAAACGCTTTTTAAACTTACTACAGTAAGATTTTTGATGTTGATCAACATTTTGGAAAATACACTTATCTGCTCTCTTTCCGAGAGTATGATGGGAGGATTGATATCAATCTCTAATCAGCATTTTGACATAATATAACAATGTTTAATGTTAAAGGTTCCCACAGAGAAGTATCACCAGCTCTGCAGCTCCCCATAGCTTTACACAGCTTTTTATGTCGTTCCACCACCAGCAGTTAAAACCTAACCAGGCATTGTGTTACTGCCTTTAAGTCTCTTACCCAAATGTGAAAGTCTGGCAACTATGACAATTTAGCAGCGTCATTTAAGCACATTTCACGTGGTCCGCTAGGCCTTCCTCTCAATCATTTGTGGCTGAGTTAATAAATGATCCACTCACATCTCTGAAACGAGGGAGACACTCTAAGGTAGCTGGATATGTGAAACGCATGTCTGTCATTACAACTAGCAAAGAAATGTGGTCAATCTCTGTGTGCAAGTATAAAAATACTCCAAAAATTCTACAACTTAAGCAACAAAAGTCAGCTTTACTATGATGACAGCACTGGTGTTATACATGTATACGATGTTCTCCTGTTTACCTCGCTTCTATTTGCAGCACTAATCTCAGTCACACTCTTGGAGGCCTTTTTCATGAAGGACACAGGCCACGACTCGTTTGAAATGGCCGGTTTCAGCAATGAAAATGAGTACATCCTCATGAACAGGTGATCTTCATATTCATTCATGTGCAGTAGTGACGTACAAAGGTTATCTAATGTATTCAGTCTCAGAGAGGAAAACTAAATACCGCCGGATGTGTCTGCAACGACTACTGCTGATTGAGGGGATACCCATGCCTACTGCCTACAACGTATTAGACTATCTCAGCACATTATAGCCCAGGCTGAATCAAAGGAACATAACTAGAGAACAGAATTCATTGGATAGAATGCATTGAGATATCTCCTCTTTTCTGTTCTTATGTTCCTGCACTGGCCTCCAGTTTGATTCAGGACACATTTTAAGATTCTACTTACCCTTCACATGCCGACCTCTTTCACATTATGTGAAATGTGTTAGATCTGTTACCTTGTTGATCCTGAGGTTAACTGCAGTATTGGTGGAGGGTTTAATATTGTTTTTCTATGGTTACAATCTCATTCAAGATTTGGAATCAGTCATTTGCAAACCAGTGGTGTTCAGACTAGAGATGCAAACCGGAGTCTGGAAGTAAACAGATGTGGATGAGGCCTTTCTGCCTACCTTATAGGCAGCTTCCCTCATGAACTGCTTTGCAGGCATTTTCCAGATAGCAGGAACAGTGATCACCCATCTCACATCATTGTTGTCAAACTCGGCACCTGTCTGATCGCTCAGCTCCTGCAGGACGACAAGTAAGAGAAACCCGACCAACAGGTGAGCTAACTCATGGCAGGGTTAGTGTCCCACTGTGGGCTCAGACCATTGCTGTACAATGTTTTAAAGTTCATAAACAAGAAGTACTGGGTCATGTTTATTCCTTACGCCGAAAACACACCAAAGCACCTGCACCATTCACATTAGATAGTTTCTGAATCTAGCATATTGAAAATAAGTCATTGGACCAAACTGAACATTGGCTTCAGGGTTCATGCTGGGATTCTACAGAATGTGAAATGAACGACGCATTGTATGTGTAATACACCAGAACATACACAAGTGCTGCCAGACGTATGTTACCTTTAGTGCCTGCTCCTTAAAGAAGGCCAATGCATATGCAAAGATATCCAGAGCTTTTACTCGCTTCCCATTGGCTGCGTGGAGGTCTGTATCGATGGACAGATTCTGATAGACAGTAGAAGACGACAAAGTTGAATGAAGGACATAGAATCATCAGATGAAGAGGGGATATGGGCTCTGCAGTCTTTCAGCTATCTTCTGTGTTGATCAAACATAATATATTTAATATAACAGTATATATTCTCTGTCCTAGTGGCAGGGCCTTGGTTGTATCTCAACAGCCAGCAGCCAGACTGCCATAAAATATTCATGGTCACCAGAGGATGATTCCTGATGGTTCTGGTGACCCAGTGACCTTTTCCTTTACCTCCATCAGTAAGCTTAAGTCTCACGTTCTATTTATTTCTTATTAACATGAAATATCATTAACAGTTGATTCCTTCCAACATGTCTTTATTCTAGGTTTGTGATAAACACGGCAGCATGTAGCTTTAGATTAGTAGCTGTCATTTTCTTATATTCTGACTGCTCAGTTCTTGTCAGAATGGAGCAGCATTTACAACATCATCAAGTATTACCACTATGAAATGTTGATTGTGGTCTGATTAAAAAGTGAACTGAACATCATTTTCAACGTGTTAAACACACGAGGCCCCACCGCCCCACCAACAGCCACAGTCCTCAACTCGCTCTTCAACCGCCCGTCACTCTTAGGATCTCACAAATACTTTAGACGTTTGCATACACGGGAAGCTTTTCCAAGGCGAAAATGAAAAGATCTGTAAAGTTAAAGTTAAAAATCTGTACATAAAATATTAATATTCATTCAGGTTGTGATGAGTGTAAAACTGTTTACTCTACTTTTTAACTCTGAAGCTCGTACTTGATGACGATTCTCTGCACCGTGTGCTTTGTTCGTATACTGCTGCTGTGACTTGTGAATTCCCCCCCAGGGGAATTAATAGAGTATCTATGTATCTATTAAAACTCCACAGCAGACACATATGCACACTGCTGATGGTAACAATCATTATCACCTGCAGAGAATTATTGTTAGTAAAGAAATAGAAAAAGTCAGCAGTGTGCTGCAGTCTCAGCTCAGGCTCACCAAACTGCATCACAGTACAGAACGGTGGACAGGGTGAGTCTCTGTGATGAGGATGGAGTGTGCTCGTACTGCTGAAGAGACAACCTGGAGAACTGCTATACATATATTCACAGTGTGTGTACAGGGTGTTTGTGTCCTCACTGCAGTAGTGTGGAGCTTCATTTTGAATTTTTCCAGATAGAGCCATTGTTTGGACTCGCTGGGGTCCAGGTCATGGTAGAAGTCACGTGCCGCGTAGCCAAAACTGTGGAACTTCCTGTCTGGAGTCAGCAGGATCGTGGTTGGAGTCTTCTGATTGGACACCCCAGGGTCCCCGCCTTCCCATCGCCTGGAAGGAAGTCAGTTATCAATACATGCATCTGTATTTCTGCTTTTGTATTTATCAAATATAGTCTAATGGAGCCACTATTTAACCACTCCACTTTTCAGACTTTCCATCAATGGCACACACAGTTATGCATCTATTTCAAGCTGTATGCATAGTGAAAAGTCAGCATCTTTCAGTTCAGTTCTTGTAATGTTTGTGTGAGGTTCAAGTCAACCGTTAAATTCCGTCAGAAAAGCCGTGTTAACTTCTCTCGTAAGCTAACTGAGCTACCACAGTATTTCTGGAGAAATGGAGGTCAGATATTATTAGTGTTATCTCTGTTCCTTGGGAGGTGTGTGATGGGATTATGGAGGCCATCTCACTAAGAGCACCTGATGTGAAGAGGAACTCATTTGGGAGATCTGGGAAAAACTGGATGGAACAGCTTCTAGCTGAAAAGAAATATGAGGTTGGTGGGATATCGCTTACATTTAGAAATGCACCGGTCGAAACCAGATGGTTTTCAGCTGATCGGCCATGACCAGCAGATAGGTATCATTTTTCCAGTCACATTTACACACATGAGCCGCAGACAGTAACATCACAGCGACACAAACACTGCAGGTCAGACTTAAAAAGATCGGAAAGCCAAGAAAACTGCAATCGGGCTATCGCTACATTTTGAACAATTATTTTGCTGGTGTTGTCCTGAGCGTTGTGTTCTTCACTGTGCTGTTTGGTGAGAGCAATCTGCCTTCAGTTTCCTGTTGGTGCAGTGTGTTTCTGCATGTCCCACTGTTCTTTAGGCCGATCAGTAAATGTGATTATCACTGCAAACTGTCTTTTACATTATAGGAGTGGTTCTCAAACTGTGGGGGGCGCCCCTCTAGTGGGGCGCGGCGGTATTGCAGGTGGGGCGCAGGGGGAAATGCAGAATTTTTTATATACACTGCTCAAAAAAATAAAGGGAACACTTAAACAACACAATGTAACTCCAAGTCAATCACACTTCTGTGAAATCAAACTGCCCACTTAGGAAGCAACACTGACAATCAATTTCACATGCTGTTGTGCAAATGGAATAGACAACAGGTGGAAATTATAGGCAATTAGCAAGACAGACACCCCCAATAAAGGAGTGGTTCTGCAGGTGGTGACCACAGACCACTTCTCAGTTCCTATGCTTTCTGGCTGAAGTTTTGGTCACTTTTGAATGCTGGCGGTGCTTTCACTCTAGTGGTAGCATGAGACGGAGTCTACAACCCACACAAGTGGCTCAGGTAGTGCAGCTCATCCAGGATGGCACATCAATGCGAGCTGTGGCAAGAAGGTTTGCGGTGTCTGTCAGCGTAGTGTCCAGAGCATGGAGGCGCTACCAGGAGACAGGCCAGTACATCAGGAGATGTGGAGGAGGCCGTAGGAGGGCAACAACCCAGCAGCAGGACCGCTACCTCCACCTTTGTGCAAGGAGGAACAGCAGGAGCACTGCCAGAGCCCTGCAAAATGACCTCCAGCAGGCCACAAATGTGCATGTGTCTGCTCAAACGGTCAGAAACAGACTCCATGAGGGTGGTATGAGGGCCCGACGTCCACAGGTGGGGGTTGTGCTTACAGCCCAACACCGGGTAGGACGTTTGGCATTTGCCAGAGAACACCAAGATTGGCAACTTCGCCACTGGCGCCCTGTGCTCTTCACAGATGAAAGCAGGTTCCACTGAGCACATGTGACAGTCGTGACAGAGGCTGGAGACGCCGTGGAGAACGTTCTGCTGCCTGCAACATCCTCCAGCATGACCGGTTTGGCGGTGGGTCAGTAATGGTGTGGGGTGGCATTTCTTTGGAGGGCCGCACAGCCCTCCATGTGCTCGCCAGAGGTAGCCTGACTGCCATTAGGTACCGAGATGAGATCCTCAGACCCCTTGTGAGACCATATGCCGGTGCGGTTGGCCCTGGGTTCCTCCTAATGCAAGACAATGCTAGACCTCATGTGGCTGGAGTGTGTCAGCAGTTCCTGCAAGACGAAGGCATTGATGCTATGGACTGGCCCGCCCGTTCCCCAGACCTGAATCCAATTGAGCACATCTGGGACATCATGTCTCGCTCCATCCACCAACACCACGTTGCACCACAGACTGTCCAGGAGTTGGCGGATGCTTTAGTCCAGGTCTGGGAGGAGATCCCTCAGGACACCATCCGCCACCTCATCAGGAGTATGCCCAGGCGTTGTAGGGAGGTCATATAGGCACGTGGAGGCCACACACACTACTGAGCCTCATTTGGACTTGTTTTAAGGACATTACATCAAAGTTGGATCAGCCTGTAGTGTGTTTTTCCACTTCAATTTTGAGTGTGATTCCAAATCCAGACCTCCATGGGTTAATAAATTTCATTTTCATTGATAATTTGTGTGATTTTATTGTCAGCACATTCAACTATGTAAAGAACAAAGTATTTAATAAGACCATTTCATTCATTCAGATCTAGGATGTGTTGCTTAAGTGTTCCCTTTATTTTTTTGAGCAGTGTATATCATCCACGTGAATCGTGTAGATTCAGCGTCAACTGGCCAGCCAGCGTTTCTCAGATTGGAGTGAGACGAGGAGAAAAGGTGATGTCGTGATCTTCACAATAAAACATCTCTGATGTGACGTGTCGTGTCTTGGCCAATCAGCGTTAAGATGTCTACACCGTCTTTCCCTCCGTTACAGTTTAAGTTACGTTATGTCCCGTTACCTTTCAGACTTGCTGGGTTAAGTTAACGTCCACTGCATGCGGAACTTCGTGGACTGTTAACGTTCGTCATTATCACGATTTAGGAGGGGAAAACGTAACGTGATGAAACATGATGCCCCCCCGTGTTCCGGTTCAGTTCACGCGGTCACTCGTTAACGTTAAACCGGAACACCGGCGCATCTGGTTGCAGGTTGTTTGTTTTAACTCAAAGTAGAATGAAAGGCCCAGATACTGATGAGGTCAAAGAGCTCCAGGGAGAGGAGGCTGGTTGTGTAGCGCAGCTTGACGCAGGGCTGAAATGTGAAGGAGCTGGGCCTGGATAAATGTGGAGCTGGGCCTGGATAAAGGTGGAGGTCTAAACATACGCGAGTACAGATTCCTGCTGTCACAGTATTTTAAATACATTGATAAGGCAGGGTATGCTAAATGCAGCCTCTGCTCCAAGGAGATGAACTACAGCAACAAGGGCTCACATGCCCTCTCATCACACTGTGATGACCACAGCCAGTGTACTAACAGTCCCAACAGTCCCACGTGCTGTTAAATCACAGCTATTTTACTTTTAGAATGCTACATTTTAAAGCTCATATTTAAAATTAAATGCTCCAGATATGTGTGACACATATCTGGAGCATTTTGTTTAGTTTTTCACAGGTTGCAGTTTATTGTTATCTTAGAAAGATATTCAGTGCAAAACAGGTGAATTGCAGCCACAATAAGCTATTTTTTGTGGGCGGTGGGGCATGAACATTTTTCTTCCTCCAAAGTGGGGCGTGACAGAAAAAGTTTGAGAACCACTGCATTATACAGTATATTTATGATAAAGGCACTAAACTCCAAATTCAGAGCATATCTAAGATTGAGGGATTGCCTCCACATAGCTCTCAACATGGAGGCAGATAACGGTTCTAACAGTGCAAACAACGGCAACAGTGCAGACAGAGCTAACAGTGTCACAGTGTAATGCTTATGTAATATGTGTCGCTAGTGTGTGGGTGAGAGACAGTGGACAGTGACAGGTTGGTAGCTTGAACATCTCTTTCAGAGTGACACATGAATGCAATAAACTACATTATTAACCAAACCGGAAACAAAGTGGTAGGTAGAGCAGCAGACGTCACAGAGCACACGCGTATTCATCTGCTGCTGAAAATAGTCCACAACAAATACACGATTTTCTTTCCTGCATTTGAGCAATTTGTGTTTAATTTTGAAGATTATTAAATGAGTTTGTACAACAGGCGGTGTACAGTTGGATGTTCTGTGAGACGGACTTGTAGCTTTTGGTTTTAAGTCAGAACACCAACAATAGACCAGGAAGCATGCACTGAGCTGAGCTGGACAAACCGTAATGAAGGGATTCTGGTGTGAGAGGGCCAGCCCAGGTAGGAACAATACTCAAATAATCTATTGCTTGCAAATAATATTTTGGAAGCTGCCTCTTTGTGAAGATTTGAAGTGATGAGGATCTAGCTTCCATCTCTAAAAACCTGTCAGCACACCGGATTGCTTTCTGTTTTCAGGGGGTTGTTGCGCCACCAATCAGCTTCCTGCTCCATTTGTTGCCCTCACAACAAAATGAGGACAGCTGATGGATGCTAATGTTTGTACTAGCACAGCAGTCCACTCTCCACCCCTCTGATACAGCTCTTCAAGAATGCTGTGCTAGAAACTCAAACCCTGCTCCACACACTGTCCAGGCTTTGTTTGGGGAGGGGTTCCAGCAGAGGAGGGACTCACCCAAACTAAATAAGCAGGGGGCTCTGGAGCAGTTTTCACTTTAAAGCTAGTAGCGCTGAGTAAAAGTAGCTGATTCATTGCATCTGCTGACTACAGGTAATGACCTGATCTGAGACCTGGATCTCTGTCTCCTTAAAGCTTTTCCAGAGACTATAATACAATTGTTTTCACAAAATTTCAACAAATTGTAATTTGAGACGCTGCCTCCTGGGGGTTTTAGGGGGAGAGGCGGTCTGAAAGCCTGCATGTTCACAGCTCTAACACCGGTAATGTGTGTGAAGTTCACAAATAGTAAACTGATCAGTTGTGAAAACCAATGTATGGATTGTTTCATTTTATTTGGACTTTGAAATAAATTAATATGAATCTTTCACTGTCTACAAGTGTTGCACATGCACTTTTGAAAAAAATATAAAGCTGGTTTTATATAAATAATAAAAATCTGGTTTCTCTAGCAGAAGCTTTAACAAGTCTTCCCAAAGTCCCATTTTCCATCAATCCACCAGAAGCCCTCAGGCTCTCTCCTTTCCCCAGCACTGCTTCACCCATCCACACACATGTTCCTCATTAGCCCTCCAGTTAATAACTGGCCCTTTTTCACACACTCCTTACCAATTTGTCAAAGTTGCTATTAAATTGCTGCAGCAATGAGTCCTAAAACCCAGAAGTGAGTCAGTGTGAAGTGTGCAGGTATGGTTCCCTCGACTCTATGTTAACGTGTTTTAGTTAGATGTGTCACGAGGCATGATAAGGACTCAAGCGCAGACAGGATGTGTGAAAAAGGCGTTTTATTCCACACCAAAAGGAAATAACTACCACACAACAGGGAGTCCAAGCACAAGAGCCGAGGGGGGAAATCCAGAGGGAAAACGAGGCAGGGGCAGGCAGACGGTGAAACCGGGAACAGGACGAGACAAACGGGCGGGTAGAACAAACAATGATCTGGCAGTGAGTGAGTGAAAGACAGGGGTTTAAATAGTGACTAGAACAGGTGAGGAGAGTTGTGCTGATGAGGGAGTGCGTGATTACTGATAAGGGACAGGTGAAGGGAGTTAGACTGGTGCTGAGGGAGTGGCTGAGTAGAAGAGTGAGGAGCTACAGAAATACACACACACACACACGCACACACACACAACACATAAGGCAAAGCCTGATTGTGACAAGATGCCTGAAATATGATTTTGACGTTTTGTTCTAAAACATTAAATAGGTCAGTGAACATCCCACCAAAGAATGTTGAATCTTTTTAAGTGTGAAATGAGAAACAAGTGTGAAACAAGTGGCTAAATGAGACTACAAAACGCTGACTCGTCTGGCTCTTTCTAAGTTTTGCTTGCATCATCACTCTGTAAACTTATGCACCTACAGTTTTTAAAGGAAATCCCTGAACTCTATCACTCTGCCTCTATTTTTTGCATTTGGGTTCTTCCCTTGATGCCTGTATTTGCTGGCTGGGACACATTGATTGCAACACTACGAATACCAGCAATGCATTTCTCGAGAGCAACGGCAAGAATGTGAAGAATCGCACATGAGGCTGTCAACTAAACAGCTGTCAGCCGGTGGTGGGATGGAAGCTGATCACCCCTGCGGTGCCCGGCACTGAGGGCAGCAGAGCTGACCTGAGAGGTCATGGGACTCTCATATGGGGTCAGATCAGTCTCAATATTAATGAATGCACACAGAAGGATTCAAAAAAGTATTTTGTGATTCACACATCAATGACTCCCACATAAATACTGTTAGTAGTGGTGTTTGGCTTCTTTCACGTCATACAACTCTGTAGACACATAGAGATGGAGGACCTAAGCTCACTGCTTTCATTTCATTACAATGTAACATACTAAAAATGCACCCCAAAGCCTGTGATTTAAGACTGGGAGATGTTTTTATCACTTTAGATCCACTGCACCCTCTTCTTCAAGACTAAATCTAAATCTAAAATCATTTCATATGGTTCTATCAAATGTGTGACTTAGATGTTGTAACTCAAGTAGCAGAGTAAATACAAGTTTGATGAAGACACATTGTTGGCAAAAGTTTAAAAAATAAACAACATTATTTTTAAATAGTACCACGACTGCAGCCAGCAAAATAATAGGAAGGAATACATGACTGGGCTATCTTTTGGTCATACGATACCTGATACCTTTTTTCAAAGCCGTATTTTAAGGCATGAAAAACGTGTCTCAACACCTCTTAATAATTTAAATTAGAAAAAGCCAAAGTTGTCAATGTTAACTTTTGTCTAGTCATAAGAAACTGTACAAGAATTCATGATTGGCAAAAATATAATCAATAATTAAAGCTGTGGGCAGCGATGAACGGGCCCTCGCTTCCTCCCGCACGTTGAGGGTGCTGGCGGGACTCCGACTTATGCGGCTGAGAACGCCTGCGACCGTCGGACAACGCGGCCACGAGTCCGATGTTTTTTTCCCGCGTTGCGCTGGAAATTATGCTTTGCAAATACTTCACCACTTCCTGTATCCACTGTGTGGCGCTACAGAACACATTATGTTGCTCTATATGAAGCGTAAATCACATTGTGTAAAAGTCATGTAAATCAGATGCTGTTTGTCACAAAAATGCAGATTTCCTTTGGCCAGCAGGTGGCGCTGTGAGTATTAGTGAAAATTAGCTTGTAGGTATCCTCAGGCCATGAGTGTTATCAAGCATGAGAAGTTTGGGACCAAGTCCAGCTGAGTTACATCAGCTCTTTTGATGGGGAATCACGTAAAGCAGCCGCCCGCTACGGCTACGCCATTCTACCAAACATAAAGCTATTAATAATTTAATAATTAATTGCTCCATTTGTGGGCAAAAATGTCATGCAATGGAAATAGAAGAAAGTCACACAACTGAGCTTTAAGTCCTGCAGTCAGACATCAGATGATGTAAACATGTCAAAAGTATGTTGATTATCAGTTAATTGTAATAAATAATTTGATAACTCGATTAAAAATGAATTTGCAATGTAGAAGACAGAGAATGTGCAGTGTACACAGAAAATATACTGAGGTTTGGGTGTAGTACATCGACTGTATATAATAAGTGGACGTATTCCCTGATTGGTTTGTGGACTACAGCTTTGAAGCCTCCTCCTGTAGTACCAGGCTGTGTCACTAGGGCGCTCTGTATAGAGCAATGGGACAGAGTTTCAGGTAATTTATTGCTCAAATTTTGCGGTAATTATGGGCCATGGCAGTAGTATAAAAACTGTTTTTGTAAAAAACATGCATTTGTGTTTTTTTTAGTTTTTTTTATTGAATCCCACTTAAAGCTTCTCCCTCAAGTCTTATTAAATACTTTATATTAATGACTAAATAAGCTACAAGTTATGTTAAAAAAACATCTTGCAGTATATATTTACAGTCTGTGTAGGAAATTTGGGTTTAGAAGTGTGTTTTAAGAAATTATAATAGAAGTGTTTAATGATTCATAATTAAGAAACCATAATTAGAAGTGTTTTGGAATACATAATTAGAAGATTCATAATTGTAAAAGTGTTTTAGAATTTGTAGTTAGAAGTGATTTGTAGTTAGAAGTGTATCTTAGTAGAATTTGTAGCACCTTTATATTTGCTTGTGAAGGTTTTTGCCAAAAGTTGCAAATCCTTATCTTTATATAGAATGTTTATCATAGAAGTGTTAAGCCATAAAAGACAGTCATTGTATGTATTAAACTGTGAAGAATAGCCAAGGGAATGTCAGACTTCTAGACAGACATTTGCAGGTTGTACCCGCGCGAGGGTTTTCGGAAGCCTGACGCCAGGAGGAGGCAACCAAAATTAGCCAATAGGAATTAAGATGGACAAAAGGGGGGGGATTTCAAACTGTAAGAGGAAGTGCTGGAAAGGAATTCACTCTCTTTCTTCTCGGCTCTGAGCCTGGAAACATCTGTGTTTCCAGGCTGAGTCGCGAGTGAATAGCTTTTCCGCACGGATCATATATTATATATTCTGTTAGTAGTGTACTTCATTCTGTAATTGTATTAGCTTCAGTAGGATTAAATACTTTTTAATTGTAAACCAGTTTATGGTAGATTTATTAAGTAGCGACTCTACTGTAGAACAACAGTGGAGCGTGCTCTCCGGCCTTCTCTCTGTGGGGAAGATTTCAGCCTCCACATCTGCTTCATCAGGAATGTGTGGTTGTGGTTTGATCAGACAGAGACCAAACTCACCAACTGTCTGCCATCAGTTTTTGATTCAAATGTTGCTAAATCCTGAGAAATTTCTCAAACCCGTTAGAAAATGACAGAGAAAAAAAAGAATACAGATAGCTCTCATGTGAAAAAAAGACTGTTCTGACTTTGGCAGAAAATGTGTTGATGTTGGAGCATCTCTCACAGTAAGAAGCTGATTGAGATATTACATTGATGGGCCTATCAAAAACAAAGCCGTTGGTCTTTTGAATAGACCAATTCATTCAAAACATAGCAATGTAAAAAAGTAATTTCTGTTGCAAATTACATATTTTACAGTGTTTGAAGAAGATAGACCACGATCAGCAAAGTTCATGCTAATATAGCTCCGCCCCATACTTTTCAGCTGTGAGTGACTGCATTGCAGTGCTGGCCTACCTCATAGTGTGAATGCACTCTGGCTCCTTAGCAAAGGCATAAGCATAACCGCTCGACGTGGTGCCAAAATCAATGGCAACCACCACTACGAAGGACGGCCCGGACGGCACCTGGTCTGTGTCGTTCTGCTGTACAGAGAGCATATACAGAGTTATGGGGTTAGGACATGAGACCAACACACATACAAACAAGCACTTTAGGCTGTAATAAATGCATTCACATTCACAGCCATCCACAGCAACACTTTACAGTACGGGGTCATAGGGTCGAGGTACGTGAGATAAGGTGCGGGGATCAAGGTATGGGGTCAAAGTACGGAGGTCACATTAGATGAAATATTCCCTGTACTCACTTGGAAACTTGGTTTATGGTAAATGGTAAGGCCGCTTTACTTCTACAAAATCTAACTCTGGTATTATTCAGGAGTTCTCTGATCTTTTTGCTTTCTTAATGTCTCGTTTCGACAGAGTCTTGATTTTAGGTGACTTTAACATACATATATGCTGCCCCTCTTTTACCTCCTTTATAAAGCATTTACATGACACTGGTCATTCTTTTATTCTTACCCTGCCCACAATAAGGGACACGCCCTGCTTATTGTTCTGTCATCTGGTTTTATTGTCAATCTCAATTCAGTTCCTCTTTCCACCTCCAACTTCCACAGTGATTACTTATTCGTCTATATGTAAACTCCATTGATAGATTTCACAAGGCCTTTAACACTGCAGCTACACATAATAATAAGCATAAACCAAATATGTCTACAGACGAATTGCTAACAAACTTCAACCATACTCCGTAGCACCAGTCAAGTCACATTATCTCTAAACTAAATAACAAGACTAGAGAAATAAAAACAAGATGCAGACTTGAAGTAGAAGAAGCCTGATGGACGAACACCTACCTATCACAAAGCTGTCAAACAAGCCAAGTCCTGCGAGTTCTCTCATATCACTTTATCAAACCGTCAAATCTGTAATCAACCCTCCTCCTAGCCAACAAACTGAAGCCACTCCTATGATCTGTGAGCAATTTTCATCCTTTACCTACAAAAACAGGTGAATTAAAATACCAGAGTCATCATGCCACCGGTGGCCCTTCTTCTCCACAGCTAGCCCTGTGCCTTACTCAATACCCTTCAGCCCCTTGTACCGTGCCCTGCATAGGGACATAATGACATCATCAAAGATTTTTCGCCTGCCAGATTCCTTAACAGTGATGGTCCCACTTTGTTATCGATTGCATATAGCTCTCTGTCTGCTGGCTGTGCTTCGTCCTGCATTAAGCACATAAACAAACCTCGACCCGTATGTTTTTAAAACTGGATGACTCATTTCTAAATGACCATTTTCACCAAAAGTTTTAGAGAAGACTGCGTACTTGGAGTTGATTTCTTTTATGAATATGTTTTACAAATTCCAGGTTTTTGTGCACGTGATAGCACTGAATCTGCTCTCATCAAAGGAACCTAAACAACCTTTCACTTGCAGCTGATGCTGGTGATTGCTCAATTTGAATTGTGGATTTGATATCTGGATTTGAGCACTGCCTTTGACACTGTGGCTCACTCAATCTTACTGGATCCCCCTGAAAAGTGGGTTGGCATCCTAAACTGCTTTTACTTTCACTCCTCAGCAGGAGGGCTGCATTACTTTCTGTTCAAAATACATGAAAAGAATCAGATGCTAATCTATTTCTTTCACTGTAAAAATCTAAGGTTCATTTATTGCTGACGTATGTGTACTGTTATGTAATATAGTTTATGAAATACAAAGGAAGCATCACAGGTACAAAGTATCAAGAGGTGAAGAAGAGAGTTGGGCCACCTGAATATGTGAAGGAGACAGTGGGGTGATTCCAGGGTCACCCATGCTCTTTGCTGGAGAAGGATTAGCCATCGCATCTGTAGAGGAAGACACACAGATATTCATGTCAGAGTCACACACTGAACCTTTCATTTACATACTTGTGCTAAACTACATACTGGCCTGAATATGAGACAATACATTTTCTGTAAATGATGTTTGAAAAAGTGTGGGTCATATTATATTGATGACTAGTCAATAACGTGCTCCCAAAGTCAAAGTACTTTGTGAATGGAGAGCACCAGCGTAGCAGCAGCTCCTACAGTGTTTGGGACCTGAATGTGTCGAGGTCAGCGGCTCTCTGACAGCTCGTGGGACAGATTCTGCTGCCGCTAAGGAAACTAGAAGTAGGTAATTGTATGACTCCATACAACCAGTGAAGTTACAGTTGACATCCAAGTCTGTCCAAAATGTCATCACTTCATCATTTTATCCTTTTAGACATTTGTGTAATGTTGTCATAATTAGCATAGGAATTTTTGAGTTATGGCCAAAGATGTGTGTTGTCAGGTCACCGTGACCTTTGAACTCTAGATGCTTATCCGTTCACCAAATCTGAAGCGATTGACCCCAGGCTCTCCTAAGATATGCTGTTCATGAGAATGGACGACCCTAAAGCACTATGCCTCGCGGAACAAAAACACTTCTTGACAAGTGAAATGAGCTGAAAGTGTCTCTCGAGGTCTTTACTGAAGACTGAACCACCTGCCAAACGGTGAAAAGGTGTCCCACAATGGTGTGATGATGGGAACTGTCAGAGGAAATGATTGTTCTAAAGTCAGAGACCTCGTATATATCAGACATATTTGGTGTTTTCATTGTTAACTATAACTGAGAGGTCACTGAGTTGTATTTTTATTTGGTTTTGTTCATATTTCACCCGTCAGGGCCTCATGGACTCACGTGCAGCTGGTTTAAATGAATGCAAAACTGTAACTCATCTTTTACAGTGTTGTGTGTATCACACAACTTTAAGACATGAGGACCTGCCAGCTGGCAGATGTGAACACCATACATCTGTATTTAAGTACGCTGTGTAAAAAAGCTTGTGGGATGTGAGTGCTTAAGTTCAGTCTCGACCTTCGAGAAAATGTCCATTTATTAGTGTATTAGTGGATGGAGTTTGCTCAGTTATCAGGGACAAGAGAGTGTGTGTGTGTGTGGGTGTGCGTGTGTGTGTGTGTGTGTGTGTGTGTGTGTGTGTGTGTGTGCGTGCGTGTTATACTGCCTTGCAGCACTGCCTACCAGTGACATTTTGCCCTAAACAGTGATTGAAATCAGCTCAAGACTTTGAGCACAATACTAAAACCTCCCTTACTAGAGATGCAAATGAACACGTTGCTATCGGCTGATTGGTCCGTTGGCTTTGTTCTTGTTTTGTTCCCTGCAGCTGGCAGGAGTGACTTCACGATCAAATAGTCATGGTAACTGAGTTACTGGTAACTGAGGAAGCTCTGCCCCGCTGCTGAGCCTGAGCTCTGCCCAGAGACTGTAAATGCCCGGCGAGTGAAAAGATGGCTCCTTTTCTGGTGCAGAGCTGCAGACTGACAACATCAACTCCCTTCAAACAGCACAGAATGTCTTTAAAACACAATGACATTTCAATGGAATTGGAGATTGTCTCCCCATTTGCTATCATCATTTTCATTAGTCTGGCTAAATAGCCTTCACAGAAAGTGTTCTTTGAAGGCACACAATAATAATACTCCCTCGATGTATTGTAAGTGTCTGGCAGAATTGTCTCACGACGGGACATCATGTCATCCATCCTATTTTTCCGCCTCGTTCACCCTTTTTTCTAGTCCACCCCTACGGAGTGGATGAGTGGTCTGAAGACCCGTAATACACTTTGCCAGGCAATTACGGTGCAGAATTACAGACCACCTGTGGCTAGACTCCATGCAGCCCGTCTCTCGGCGCCCCCAGCAGCCCACTCTCAAAGCCACCTTTACAACCTTGAGGTTTTATTCCCAACAATTGCCATAAAAATCAAATCATGATTAGAGAAGTAAAGCGATTGCTCTTGTAGTAATATGTAATATGTAGTAATATCTCAAGTGCTGCTTCACTAAGGTTTGACTGAGGCCTTCTTTTTATTGTGCTAGCTCAGTTAGTCTCCCTCCATGCAATAAGGAGCTTCTAAACAGGCAGCTTTGTATTGTGAATGGTAACTGTATTTGCAACCTTGGCTGTTTCAATTATACTTTTAATCCAATAAAAAAAGTGGAAAACTAGCGATGAAGACATACCAATCAATAGTGTGTAGTCACTTGTTCAAAGAAAATTAGAATTGTAAGTAAGAAGTGCACCTAGTCATCGTAACGTCACCCATTGATTTGCTGACTAAGCAACTACGGAAAAATCTAAAAGCTGTCCATCATTTTGACAGACTGGAGGAGGTGGAGCCTCTGTGAGCGCCACGTGTCAGAGAGCAGTGCCGGTGCAGAAGGAGCTCATGCTGTGTGATTTCCTCGTGCTGAAGCGAGTGCTTGCAGGATCAGGAAGTCCCACGTTCACAGAGTCTGGTGAGTCCAGTCTCCAGTGTAGCAGCAGAGCGTTCAGCCTTCAGAACAAAAAACAAATGTCCATGACATTGTCTGTCTGAGGAAAACACGGAAAATATCATTAATCTGCCTCGTATGTGTTGACATGAAAAGTGAGTGTGGGGCATGTCTCTGTTCATCTTTTCTCTCCATTCCCTTATAAATACACAATCTATAAGCTAGCTCTGTATATTAACGAGTAAAATAACACAAACAAACACAAGTACAGTACCGAGAGCACTACCACCGCTTGTGTGTGTCACTCAAAAACTTAAAAAATGTATTACAAGACAGATGTAATGTTCCAAGATGCCAAATAACCACAACTGGTCCCTGGTTCAATTCCAGGCTGTGATCTTTATTGAACACTATTCTATCTCCCAGTGCTTCTTCTCCACCTCTCTACTGTTTAGTGAAGCCAAATATGTCTTAAATATAATAGCTGGGCTAATCCTAAACAGATAATCAATGAGGGCATCCAGGGTCCTGATGGGCTGAAGAACAGTGGAGAGGCATCACTCAGATGAAACAGGACATGTTGTATTCCTTTGAATGCCTGCTGAACTCACGTAGTCATTGCAGCACTGACTGTGCAGCTGATAAAGGATGTGAAGACTCGTATTTCTCTCGTCTCAGTAGGAGTGGTGGCTTCCTGTTGGCCTTCCATTCCATCTATTCCCCAAACGACTGCTACTCAGAGGCCCGAGCCGCGAGAGAATGTCAGTAAAATGATCAGGCACTTGACTAAAAGAATCAATCAGTCGGAAGTACAACTGAAAACAGTTTCCTTGGAGTTTAAAAGGCTCACATCAATAAAGAAGGGCAGTCTTCAATTTTCTGATGATGTTGTTGTGGACTAAGGTCACTGTCACCGAGGGTCTGCCTGATGAAAAGAGCAGCTAATCCAATACATGCTTTTAGCCTGCTCTCAAGGGAGAAGGTATGTCAGCAGCAACTCTTCAGTAACCATTACCCCCCCGACAGCCGTCTGGTCAAAAGCATTCTACACTTGATGACAGAAAGCCAACTCTACACCTCTCAACATCTAATCCGACTAGTGTCTGTACGTTTTAAGATATATTTACAAAATGTCAGCGGGTGTCGTCAGAAATATGTCCACATCTTGCTGTGTAGACCAATATATATTTGAAATTAGCACTGCTAATAAATCTGGACAGAATATTTTTTTCAATGTCCTATAACTGTTTCACAATAAAGCCTCCCGCTAGGTGGCCGGTAGAAAGGTTCAGTATTTCACTTTGTCATGTTGAGGTTGCTACTTTTCTTAACTCTAGAAACATTTTTCATTTTTGTAATGTCTCAATATTACTACTGTTTAATGTTCAGTACAGCTTACCTGTGATTGTGGGAACTATAGGATTCCCTCCTTCGCCCATGAAGTGGTACAACAGCTACTGTGAGTCAGTTTTAGCGGGAAGACTCAAGCTTCAATGCCTTTATTCATCGTCGGTGATGTGAAAACATTGGGTTTCCACAAAGTCACAATAGTTAAAATATGCGTCCTGGTCATAGTTATATAAGTTATAAGAGTTATCTGTCAGCCCATCACTGGTCAGCAGGGGAGGAGGTTAAAACGCGGTGTACTTCACAGCGTACTTCTGTGTTCTTAGTTTTGTAGTTTGATCATTTGGAGACAACACCTACAATTTCAAAACCTGCCATGCTGTTATACTGTCATTTTGTGTGTACAATTATGCAGCTCAAGGAAAAAAGTGCAGTAATCCGAAAGGCAAAATGAGCTTCCCTTGATTCAAATCATGGACAGTTCTTTACTGTCAATCCACGGTATGTTTAAGGGTCAAATGACCATCCCTGAAATAATGCAACCTGTTGAATTGTTAGAAGACGTGAACGAGTATGGCCAAAATTATATTCATGATTATTCTGATCAATATTTAGATTATAATTATTTTTTACGATTATTCACTAATTTTAGGCGGGAAGTGAGGCTGAACCAGCTGCGCACATTTACAGGTTGATTTGGGACTAAAGGAAATAGCTCACTAGCAGGCGTATGCAAGGTTTTATAAATCTGAATATTTTTGTGGATCCTACCCTACACACTGTTTTAGAAATGAGACCCCTACTAAGTAACTGATCTTAAAATAAGACTTCAAATAAGGTTCTTCTTCAGCTGAATTTAGAGCATTGAGCAGTGGCGGGCCGTCAGGGCCTGCAAGGCCTTCTCTGCTGGCCGAGACATAATCACAAAGTTATAGCTATTTTATAATCTAATAATTTTTCTTAAACACACTACATGTATTATAATTTATAAAAATATTTTCCCCATTATCTTATTTTCTCATTGCACAGCTACTGTCTTCCTCAGTTGCTCTGCTTCCAGTGCAGCTTGTTTTAAGTAGAGCTTTTATCCAATCAGATCTCACCTCTGTGTCTCTAGGTAAGAAGAGAGACCCGAGGCCTGCAGACTCACAAGTGAATCCATGTGCAGTAATGGGGACGATATTGTTGAT